AACAAACTTGAAACTTTCTAATCTCAAAAGTTCATCTCAACAATTTTTTAGGCAGTACTTCAGGAGAGCTGCTCAATGTTGCATAACAATTAATATTCAGGTTTCATGAAGACAGACCATAGCCAATTTCAGGGAAATCCATCACTCAATTTAGTATCATGTGCTTTGGAGTCAGGTAGCTTTGGGTTCAAACTTTCTTATTGTTGCTGAAGGATTTGGGGAGTATATTCTCTACAGATTGCTACTGTAACAACTTTTCAGTTTTCCTGGCTTAAAAGAACTGTTATTGTCTTACAATTTAGGGAATCCGTAATCGAATGTAAGTCTGTATGATGACCATTCATCCCTCCGGGTGATTTAAGGGAAACACTGTCACTTTCCTTCGTCAGGCACCTAGATTGCTTGGCATGAGCCCCTTCTACAACATCTTTAGATCCAGAAGCACAGCATCTGTTCTCCTTTCTGACCTTCTATCTTCCTTTTACAAGGACACTCAATGATTGTATGGGTCAATTCAGTTAGCCAGGATAAATCTTAACATCTTCAGATCTTTAACTTATTCATACCTGTAAAATCATGTTTTCCATCTAAATAAGTCCCTTTTACTTGTATTTATATGTTCCAGAGATTAGAGCTTTGACGTACCCAAGGTCTACTATTCAGCTTTCCACAGAGAGGAGATTATATTTTTTCACGCACAGTTGCTCCTGGGCTAAATGATCCTCCTCCTTCATCATTTTTCTGAAGTAACTGAGACTATAGGAGAATGAGCCATAGAGCTTGGCTTTCTTGTATTTTAACATGAGATTTGCAAAAATTCCTACAACATTGAGTTAAGAATTAAGTGAAGTTGCATACATTGTTATTTTACATTATTACAATTTTTATTGTGAAAATACTGTACAGAGGGGTTACAATTACATGGGCAAGGTAATCAGTACATTTCTTATTAAGCATTGTTGCCTCCTCCCTTGTTTCCCCTTCCCATCCCTTCCAGTGTCCCCCCACCCCCACCAAAGTTATAAAGTCTGTTTTCAACATAACGACTTGTACATCTCATTGTTGCAATGGGTCCACCTGTATCCCTATTTAAACCACTTGTTTTTTTCCCTTCCCCTCCACAAATTATACCAACATTAAGTACAGTGAAAGCAGGGTTATACTGTGGGGGAGGGACATACAAAGCAACAAAGAAATCATCTTATAAATGTGTTAGAAACAATCGCATGAAAGAAAAAATATTTGAATACATATCTTGGGGTTCATTTCACCTAACATCAACTCATCTGACCTTTTCCAACAATTTTTATATTAAGTGATCTAGGAACTTAAGGAGAATAGTAGATCTGATTCTTGCTCAGAGATATAATACTCAAAATGAGCAATCATAAAGGTAAATGCATATTTGCAAACCCTAATTAGTGGTACTAAAGTATGGTCCTGTGTATGTTGACAAGGCTCTCTGAGGGAATAGTTAAGACTTTATGAATGACTAGGATTTATCATAAAAAAGGAAAAAATGTGCAAATCCTTATGACAGGAATGAGTGCAATACACAAAGAATGTGGAGGTATAGAGGAAGAGTGTCAAATGTGATTCTGTAGATCATAGATCACACTTGGAAAGGCCACACTTATAGCCTGGGGTGAGTCTAATAGAAACAGGAAGAGTAGTTTGATTGGATCACTTATGAAAAGATGTTACACTGAGTGCTAAGTGGAGAATTCAGCGTGAGAATGGAATCAGGGATATCAGGAAAGAGACTTGGTTTTGTTCCAGGCAAAAAAGGACTTGTCACAGGCTGGGCTATTGAGGAAGCAGGCACAAAGAAGATAAGCAGGCAGGTGCCAGATAAGGAGAAGCCTTGGGATTCATGCTTACAGAAGGGCAGGAAACAGGATTGGATGGAGGGAGACCTCAGTAAAACCAAAGATGCTTGTAATGATGTACTCATGACCCTCAGAGCTAAAACAGCTAGAGGTTGGAAACACTTCTGTCCTCATGTTGATGAGTCCCTGGGTGCAGTTTCTCTTGCTACCTACATCTACCTGCATGTAGCTCTTGTTTGGTGGCAGTCCCCAAAGGTCTGACAGCTGAATATCTGGGAAAAATCTATCAGTGAACTCTGGCATTTGAATCTCAGTAACAACCTTATAGTGGTTGGACATAAGCCATGCCAGTTGAAGATAAAGCTAAAGCAAATGGCTGAGGAAAAGGGAACGTACATAGACCTAGAAGAACTCAGTGATAGATTATATATAGACGCATAAAAGAAGGAGATATGAAGGATAAGAAATGAGTTTCTATCTTTTAGAGCACAATTGATCTTTGGACACTATTTTTATTCAGTAATGTGGATCTGTCTAACTACATTAATAAGCCTATGCCTCAAACAACAAGTCCAGGATAAGGATAAAAATTTTGGAACAAACAATAAATTAGGAATAGCAGAAAGCATGAACCCAAATAGGAATTACCTCAAGGAAGAGCAGTGCCTAAGGCTGATGAAGTCTTGAGCAATGCTGATAATTAAAATGAATTATGTAAGTTGCTTTTCATTACAGTTTGTAGGAAATACTCAATGAATCCTTGTTGCCCTGATAATAATAACTTTACTAGCAGCCAGGGAAGTGGCCTGCTGCAAACATGTGACAGGATATGCACTCAGTCATGGCATCAGGATGCAGAATTCTTCAGTGGAAGAACCGGTACACACCTGAGCAGCTCCAAAGAAATGCTCCTCAAAGATGCACTTGCAAGGAGGAGGCCAGTGGGCCTCTGCCTCATCCTCATATCCATTCCTGCTCAGTCTTCCGGGCTTTCCCTTCACAAAAGGCCCAGAAGCGAATCAATTTTCTTGGCCCTTTTTACCTAGAGTATTTTGGAAGTTTATGGCCCCATCTTGTCACTCCTCTCCATCGCTTGCCTCCACAAGGTGAAGAAGTGACAGCTATCTTGTAAAATCATAATCCATACTGCAAATTCTCCAAGAGCTAAATTGATGACCCAGGGTGAAAGCTAAGGGTACCGAAGCCTTGGTGTGGCCCCGCACCCTCACCTGCCTCCACCACCTTCCCATCCTGAGCGGTCCGACCACTCTTTCAGCTTCTCTGTGCTCTGACAGCAGGATGGGGATGTGTATTCTTGTTTTCAGGCCTCGGTACCTGCTGCTCCCTTTGCCTAAAAAGTTCTTGCTGTGGCTGTCCCTATAGCCTCCTTCTTACCTCCTACAGTTTCTGCAGCTTCTCCTATAGCAATGGTCAGCAAGCACCTTGACTAGCCTGGGAAAGTCTCAGACTTCCCTCCATCCTTCTCTGCCTCTGCTTCATCATAATCTGTGGCATTCATTACCTCCTATTGCCTCCCACTAGAATGCAAATTTCATTAAGGTAAAGTCGCATTTCCTTAAGGATTGGGGGAGGGGGGGTGTCCCTTTTTTTTTCTTTGACAAATTTTCACAAAGTAGCCTAGGCTGGTTGATTTAAATTGTCAATGCATTTGCCTCCTCCTTTCCTACCGCTGTGTTCACAGATGCATGGCGTCACTTCCACATTTTTTAATGGTACAGTTTGACTTTCTGTTGTGTTTACAATGCCTTAGAAATTTTGAACTTGGGGGCTGGGAAGGTGGCTCAGTGGTAGAGTGCTTGCCTTGCATGCCCGAGGACCTGGGTTCGATTCCTCAGCACCACATAAACAAAAAGAAAAAAGCTGGAAGTGGCGCTGTGGCTCAAGTGGTAGAGCACTAGCCTTGAGCTGAAGAGCTGAGGGACAGCGCCCAGGCCCAGAGTTCAGGCCCCATGACTGGACCCCCCCCCCATAAAAAAGAAATTTTGAACTTGGAATATACATTTAGTAAATATTGGCTAGAGAGAGCGAATGAAGATGTGAGAATCACTCTATTTTCTGTTGAGGTAGCTTCCCAGGTCTGACTGGACCAGATGAGAAAGAGCTGCCCCTGCTTCATGGAGGACAAGAAAATGGACAACCATTCAGTCCATTCGAAGAAATTTCTGGCCCTTTAAAGCTAGCATGTAGTAGATGATAACTCATGCATCAGCAGGGATGCTGGCTGTTGGAATCCTGTGGATGGCAAGAATAACAGATTTAAATTTCTTTAAAGAAAGTATCTCTCTGACTAGGTCTGGGTGATTCCAAAATAAACTTTAAAGCAAAAGGTCAGCTTATTCCTTTTAGAAATGAAGCCTACAGAGCACTGATTGACTTTTTCTGTCTGCCTTCTTTTCTTCTTTGGGTTGTAGGGCTTGAACTTATGGCCTAGGAGCTGTCCCTGAGCTCCTTTGCTTAAAGCTAGCACTCTGCTACTTGGAACCACAGTGCTACTTGTAGGTTTTTGGTGATTAATTGGAGATACATCTCACAGATTTTCCTGTCCAAGCTAGCTTTGAACTTCAATCCTCAGATCAGAGCCTCCTCAGTAGCTAACATGAGCTACGAGCTAGGCTCTGTCTGCATTTTTAATAGCTATTGTCATCCCAGGCAAAGTCTGAGGAGATATTTTCCTCTGGTATTCTTGTTTATTATTATGAAATTACAGTCTTCTTCAGTGATTATAAATTGCCACTGACCCAGCTCTGGGATGTTATGGTTACAGTTCTTGGTTAGGTGAACTTCAACTTGGACTCCAGAATCACACATACTTCAGAGCACTTCCTGGGTTTTGAAGTATTCTTGCCAGCTCTGGCATGCCCCTGATACAGATGTACAAAGAGCACGGAAGGGGGCTGCCAAATGCTTGGAGTGCACTTTAATTACTTCTTTGGTAACTGAAACTTTCCTGAACTTGGCAGAGCGCCTTGTTTCAGCTGTCTCTTGGGGAGATTTTGAGAGTCTAAGCTTCCCCATTTATATCTTATCTTGCCTGGTTTCAGATCTTTTGAAAAGAAGGACTCTCCTTTGTATAATCCTTTTGCTTCCTGGGATGTGAAGGGAAAGCCTGAGGACCTGCCTGGTCTGGCTGGGTTTTGTCCAGGAACGGGGATCTCACAGGATCTCAGCAGGGCAACTGTTAACTCTGGGTGGTTATTCTTCCTTGAGATCACTCTGATGTCACAAGTGTAATTTGAGCTGGGAGCTTTGTTCACACTTTAAATAGCAGTCCCAGAATGATCCTGCCACTGACTCTCTGCAGCGCCTGGGAGCTGAGTTCCTGAAGATCTCACAACATCGATGAAAGCAAAGCGAAGCCACCAAGCCATCACCATGTCCACGTCGCTGCGAGTGAGCCCATCCATCCACGGCTACCACTTCGACACAGCCTCTCGGAAGAAAGCCGTGGGCAATATCTTTGAAAACATAGACCAAGAATCATTACAGAGGCTCTTCAAAAACTCTGGAGACAAGAAAGCTGAGGAGAGAGCAAAGATCATATTTGCTATAGACCAAGATTTGGAGGAGAAAACCCGAGCCCTGATGGCCTTGAAGAAGAGGACGAAAGACAAACTTCTTCAGTTTCTGAAGCTGCGGAAATATTCCCTCAAGGTCCACTGAGTGGGACAGAATGGATAAGGATCTTATCCACCACTGGACGTTTCTAGAATAAGTGAGTTTGCAAGACCTGAACCAGGGCAGCATCTTGCTGCTGTCTTGCAAGTTTCTCCATCCAGACTCAGAGGTTGGAAAGGAACACAGCAGAGTGCCTTCACACTCCAACCAATTTCATGGCTGGTGCTGTTGCTCAGAGGAGGAAATGCTTCAGCAAGCACTGAAAACTTTCTTTTCAGTGCAGGAAAAAACTGTCACTGGTAGAAGAGTCTGGACAGGTGCAGCGAGAACAGGACACAGCAGATGGCTGGAAAGACAGCAGGCACCAGAGTCACTTGCTGGGCCAAAGGACTTGACTTAAATTTCCACGGATCTCACTCCTCCATTCTCTCTTCCCTCTCTCTTTCGCCTCTCTCCCCTCTTTCTCTCACTCTCTATCAAACTGGGCAGAGAGAGGGAGGATAGACAGAGAATACCTAGCACATATTGTTTACTGAAATTTTTTATCCAAATTTTCAAAATGTTGTCAAGCTGTTAATGTTGTTTGTTGGCATTGACTCTTAGAAATCAGTAATTATTTATTTGCATTTATGACAGTGCTTGAGAAAACGGACTGCACAGTGTAAAGTACATGTTAAAGGAGTTGTGATGTCTTTTGCAGCTCGGTAAAACCTATGCCACCTTCTGGCCTGTTTGTAAAGGGCTTTTATACATTTCAAACTTGCACAAAAGTTAAAATATAATGGGGTCATTCATAAATCCAAAGTACTGTGAACATTTTTGTAATTATTTTTTATCATCTGACTAATGCTAAAATATAACCTAGTTAAATTTGTTAGTTTCTTCAATAAGCATTAGGAAATGAATATGATATATTACTTTATAAAGATGCTATGGTTTCTATAATTTATTATACATGGCTAGTGATATGCAATTCTAATAAATTATTATAAGATTAGCTGCTACTGGTCTGTAATGTTTGGGCTCAGAGGAAAAAGTAAGATGGTAACTTTTGGTTATTATAAACTTTTCTGCAGGTTCAACTCTAAAAATAAATGGTGCTTTTGGAGTAGCTTTTGCCAATTATCTTTTTGTTTTTTTTCAAAACAAATTCTAATACCAAATACCTGGGAAGTTTCTCTGTCCCTGCTTTAAAATGTAAGACATAGAGATTCACAAATGAACTCACCAAAATTGCTTTTTTATATTTTATGAAGGGTGACTTTAAAAGACTTTCTCAATTATTTTGCAATTCTTCCTCTGTGATAACAGTAGCTATGTACATGTGTACATTTATTTGTCCCAAAACATGTCTAGGGTTAGTCTGAATTATGATAACAACCTGTGAGTTATCACTGTATATTTAATGTAAACTTATACAGAGACAGCATTACTGTCTCTCTACTTATTTCCTCATACAATTATAATAAATGTTTCTAAGAAGGCCTACGTCAATGCCCACTGTGTTTTCCTAACAGATACAAAAAAAATTCCCCAGAAACCAGAAAGCAGGTTAAAAAACACACAGATATTTTTAAATAAATGTCAATTATAGGATATCAAGATAGGCAAAACTATCTAGAACATTTTAGGAAGGTTATAATGCATGATTTTAAATACTAATTTTGTGTGTGTGGAGGACTTGAACTCAGGGTCTGAAAACTATCTTTTAGCTTTTGTGTTCAAGGCTAGTGCTCTACCATTTGAACTAGCAGCTTTTTGTAGTTAATTTTAGATAGGCAACTCACAGACTTTCCTTCCTGGGCTGGCTTTGAACCAGGATCTTGAGATCTCAGCCTCTTTAGTAGCTAGGATTATAGGAGTAAGCCAGCGACACCTAGCTTTAGTACTATTTTTTGAACAATTCTGATGAAGTTTGTATTATTATCAGGTGATAACGTCCTTGGATTATTTTTATTTTTAAGAAAAAAATTAAGTGGGAAAATGGATATTCTAAATATGCTTACAAATTACCCCATTAAGAAGTTCTTAGCTGGGGATGTCTTCAATAGTGGTACTTACTTAGTATGTGCTCTGGGTTCTATTCCAACATCACACATGTAAATACTATAAAATGAGCCCTTTTAAGACTTGTGTGTGTGTGTGTGTGTGTATGTGTGTGTGTGTGTGTGTGTATGTGTGTGTGTATTAAGTGCATTTTTCTGGGAGTAGTATTCATAATGTTCAACAAATTTGCAAAGACAACCATGACACTCAAAGGAATTTAGATCTAAAATAGCAGGGCTTTTTCTGGGAGATGGTCACTTGTTGTGGGACTCAGTATGGTGAAAGCAGAGGCTGTGAAGAAGTCATTCATCTTATTTAATTTATTTCTTGATGTCAAAATCAAAATATAGGAAAGGAATTAATAGCCAATCTGAATATGAACCACAGCAAAATAGAGAATAAAAATTCTTCCCATAGATTATTATAAATGTGCTGTTTTCCCTTCATGGGAAACAAGAGGTGACATCAATGTGGTGGCCCAAGGAGAAATTTTAACTTCATAATAAATACATTATTTAATATCATCTGAAAATTAGCATTATGAAAAAGGTGACCAGTTCAATTGAGAATCCCATCTATGCCTTAGGGATAGTCAAGTAGATCTTAGGACATCTTATGATAGAAGAAGCAAGAGCAGTCAAGGTTAAATAGCTAAAAATATTTGCCTCATTAACTTTCACTGATCATTTACTATTAGTTAGGCAATTATCTGAGTTTTGTGTTTGTATAATGTGTGTATTAAATCACTTAATGTGTACTGTAACGTAAGAGGAAAGGGTGTGTGTATGTGTGTGTATGTGTGTGTGTGTTCGTAGACAGACAGATAGATAGATAGATAAATAGATAGATAGATAGATAGATAGATAGACAGAGACAGACAGACAGACAGACAGATAGATAGATAGATTCATCTAGAAATCAACTGAAGCACAGAGATGAGACTTACCAATGACACATAGTTCAAGGATCATATCCAGTAAGATTGTCCTCAGTAGGAGAAATCAGGCTTCATTTTTTTCCTTCTAAGTGACAATTATTTCTAGATTGCTAGCTAGGAAGGCAGAAGGCATGGCCACTGAGAGTTACTTTCATCTCACTTGTGTCTGTTTATCTATTTCTGGAACTGGCATTCCATGGAGAAAGTGTCTCAGTTAAATCATTTTAATTGTGTCAATCATTTCTTAAGCACATACTTTCAGTTATGTAGTTAAAATAACACTATAGCAGTACCTTGTAATCCAGGCCACACCTGAGGTCTTCAGACAATCATGGCCTTGGTCTGGTGTGCTCCTTGGGGACATCAGAAAGCATAATTCATGATGTTATTTGTTCAGAGCATGTAGACAAGGGCTTACCTTGCAAATGGACTATATTGGAGAAAGGAGGCTGACTTGCATATCTGACTGTATTGTCTCCATTGCCAGATGTGAAGCACAGGATGTAGCTGACTGTGAAATCTTACCTTAATGACGGATGATTTGGCCCTGGTCTGGGATGGTGTGTTCTTTCAGAGTCCTGGTCCACTCTCAGATACAGTTAAGGTTTCCCAACACAGGAGATGTTGGAAGCCCCTTGCTCACACACCAGGGACTGCAGAGTGAAATGGCAACTACCGTTCATTCACTTACAATCACATAGTCAGCCCCCAGGAGTGTGGGCCCAGAAGGTCAGGGCAGGTCCTGGTTTTCCCTCTCAGAAGAGCTAGACATGGCTGAAAAAGGAGATGGGAACTACAGGAGGCTATTGCAGATTATGCCTGGGAGAATGTATATGCCTGTTATGAGTGTGTGTGTGTGTGTGTGTGTGTGTGTGTGAGAGAGAGAGAGAGAGAGAGAGAGAGAGAGAGAGAGAGAGAAGGGGGGTATGGCCATGTGCTTATTTGTGTATATGTGTCCATATACACATAGATGTATGGCTGTGAGTGCATGTGTGTGTTTGTGTCATGTATCTTTAGAGAATAGCTGGAGAAAAGAAAGGAACCTAGTCCAACTTAGGGAGACACAAGAGGATTCTATACAGAAGTTTCCCTGCTTCAAAGCAGGAGTAGGCAGCCCATGGGTAGAAATATGCAGGGCAAGGAAGCAGGAGAAAAGCAAACCATTTGAGAGCCTCCAGGTCCTTGTGAAATGAATGATAATTAGAAAGATCTTAAATGATGAGCTTGAGCACTCATATTGATCTGAAGCATTGGGAACTTTAAGGAGTAACATTTACTGCCTAACTATTACATATCGGCAGTAGAAGACCTGGTTAGCATACAGAAAAATAAAGTACTCTCCAGCAGCTGAACTTATGGTTACATTCTAAAGTGTCATTTTTTTCCAGAATTCTGGCCGGTCGTTATATACCAGAGTAAAACAGCTCTTAGAATGAGGACCTTTGCAATTCTTTAACAGTGAGAAGCTCTGTGGTAGCTAACAAAGAAAAGAGACAAGATTGTGAAAAAAAATTCTGTGTGGTCAGGTCAGGGAAACAGCAGACTGTCATGTTGCTTGATTACATTTTTAAAGAAATTGTGGCCTTGCTTAAATCTTACAAGGAGTTGTAACATTTAGCAAGTTTTATGAAGAAGTGGTTACTAAGATCTCCCTTTACTTGAATAACTCTAATCAATAACCAAGTGATATCCCAGGCCTATGCAAATTTTTACTGTATTTGATGTTGGTATAATTTGGGGAGGGGAAGGGAAAAAACAAATTGTTTAAATAGGGATACAGGTGGACCCATTGCAACAATGAGATGTGCAAGGTGCTGTCAAAAAAATGAACTTTACAATTTTAGGTTGGGGGGGGAAGTGTAGTTGTGGAGATGGGAGGGCAAGGATGGTAGGGGAAAAACAAGGAGGAGGCAACAATGCTTGATAAGAAATGTTCTCATTACCTTGCTTCTGTAATTGTAACCTCTCTGTACAGTATTTTCACAATAAAAAAACTTATTTTAAATAAATAAATAATCTTAAAAAAAGAAAAGAAATTCCCTCCCCGTCCCCTCAAAAAACTCTTCTATTTCAAGTACACACCTGTGAACAGTGACAACAAGTCAGGTGAGGTTTGGCAATCCAGACACACTCATGTGTACAAGTGCACCCACATACCCGAAAATAGATCTCTGTTGTTCTTTTTCCCAAACGTTTGTTTTCTCATCTGTAGATAGCAGCCATGTGTGGAGCAGACACCTACAGACTAATACTGGAAATAGGAGACTTTACCAACTCTACTTCGGGCAAATTCCTTCTGTATCTCTGGATTTCATCTGTAAGGCCGGGAAAGTTTGACCTATGATGTGACCTCTTTCTCATAGTCTACCAATGGCAAGTCCAAACCACATGGCTTTCCATGACAGCATCTTTCTGGATCAGGGATTTTCTCTAAATACAGGTTTTTTTTAAAAAAAATTATTTGTTTAATTGTTTTTGTTTGCTTGATTGGGGCTTGAATTCAGAGCTTTGAGCTCTTGCTTAGCTTTTCCCCTCAAGGCTGATGTTCAACCACTTGAGCCATACCTTTGCTTCTTATTTTTTGGCTGGTTAATTGGTGAGTTTCTTGGCTTTATCTCCTAGGGCTAGCTTTGAACCATGATCTTCAGATCTCTGACTTCTGAGCAGGTAGGATCACAGGCGTCAGCCACCAGTGCCCAGCTTTAAACACATTTTTGATCATGAGCAATAACTTCCAGAGGATAAGATGAGGGAAGAATAGTCTGTGGATGTACCTGGGTTTTTAAAAGCCTCTTTTATTCCAGTTGGTTGGTATTCCTGTCTGAGACAGATGTTAACATTCACTCTCTACCACATCCAAGCAATGACAGTGTCACAGAGAGAATCTCCACTGCTGGCAAAAATTGTAACCATCTCTTAAGTTTAAGAAATATACATTCCTGGGGCTGGGAAGGTGGCTCAGTGGTAGAATACTTGCCTTGCATGCATGAGGCCCTGGGTTCGACCCCTCAGCACCACAGAAGCAGAAAAAGCTGGAAGTGGCACTGTGGCTCAAGTGGTAGAGTACTAGCCTTGAGCTGAAGAACTGAGGGATAGTGCCCAGGCTCAGCGTACAGGCCCCATGACTG